TAAGGTTTCAGCCAACAAGGGTGAAATTGGGGATGCCACACCTTTCAATGATGCTGTTAATGTGCAGAAGATCTCTAATCTTTTATCCGACTATGGCTATCATCTCAGAGGAAATGAGGTACATTTACTTTTCCAGTAGTAATTTGTCATTTGTCACGTGTATATGTTTTGTGCATATAATTCTATTCATGTTTTTTTTTTCTTTTTGGGTCACACCTAGTGATACTCAGGGATTATTCCAGCTTCTGCACTCAGGAATCACTCCTGACAGTGCTTAGGGGATCATATGGGATGCCGGGGATTGAACCCGGGTCGGCCACATGCAATGCAAAAGCCCTACCTGCTGTACTATCTCTCCACCCCCATATGATTCTATTCTTTAAAAAAAAAAAATCTAACCTTTTATTGAAGTACTAACACACCAGATCTGCAAGTACATTGCAAGGTATAATGTACTACTCGCTAAATTGTCCCTGAGTGATTGCTCCCTGGGGCTCCAGCAAAGTGACAGAGCCCTTGCTGTGGAGATGCCTCCCGGGCTCTTACAGCCCTTCCCACCCTCATGCCAAGGCGACTGTCTCAGCTTCCTGACTGTAGACTGGCTTCACCTGTTTTGATTATTTTTTTTAATCAAAATATATAGCACATTTGGCACATACGCAAATGTGGCCTGAACTTACAAGTCTGTGCTTAAAACTCTGTTTCAGGTCCTGTACAATGGGTTCACCGGCCGGAAAATCACCTCCCAAATCTTCATTGGCCCAACTTACTACCAGCGTTTGAAACACATGGTGGATGATAAGATTCACTCTCGAGCTCGGGGCCCGATTCAGATCCTTAACAGGCAGCCCATGGAGGGCCGATCTCGGTAAGAGCTGCCTTGTCGCTGATGACCTTCAGAACTGGCCTTTTTCACCCCTCCCCTGATGGGCGGCAGTGACCAGGGGCCACCCCCATGTGTGGTGGCTGTGCTTGTACATTTAGTGGTGGTGATCTCGGGAAAACCTGTCACTACTCATCTGGGGCACTCATTTGGCCACTCGTTGAGGCTCACAGTCCTTTCCTGGCTCTAGGGTAGGTGTTGGCTTTGTTGTTCGCACAGTGTTTCAGGTGCGCTCTCTGGGGCCGTGCCCTTTCCTCGGGGACTACATGGTCCTCCCTGTTGTGGACTAGGGATCCTGATCGCAGGGCAGCAGGGCTGTGCTTCATGTGTAGTGACTCTTGGGGTCGCATTTGACGCCTCACACTTGTAAGGCTGGACCTCGGAATCTTACTCTGTTTCTTTTTTTTTTTTTTTTTTTGCTTTTTCTGTCACACCGAGCGATGCTCCAGGGTTACTCCTGGCTCTGCACTCAGGAATTACTCCTGGCAGTGCTTGGAGGACCATATGAGATGCTGGGGATCAAACTTGGGTCTGCTGTGTGCAAGCCTAACTCCCTACCCTGCTGGACTATTGCTCTGGCCTGTTTTCATTTTTTGTTTGTTTTGGGGCCACACCCGGTGATGCTCAGGGCTTACTCTTGGCTCTGTGCTCAGGAATCACTCCTGAGAGTACTTGGGTGGCCAAATGGGGTGCCGGGGATCGAACCTGTGTTGGTTGTATTCAAGGCAAGTGCCCTGCCTGCTGTACTATTGCTCCAGCACCTAGTGTTTATTCTCTACTTTTATCTGGGGCCACGTGACGCGGTACTCAAGGGCTGCTCCTGGTGCGTTGCCAGAGAGTTGCCTGGTGGTGCTGGAGCGCCCTTTGTCAGGGAGCAAACCCGGGCTCTCCGGGCAAGCATGCGCACTCGCCCTTGAGCTAGCTTGCTGGCCCAGCATTTATCCCCTCCCTCCCTCCCTTTTTGTTGCTGTGAGAACCTGGGGTTGTATACCTGATCACAGTGCCCAGAGGTCCCTCAGTGTTGTGGTGCCCGGTCACAGATGGCAGTGCCAGCTTGCCTCCTGCACGTGGGAAATCTTCCTGCGAGGCACGTGCCTGCCTTTGAGCCACCCTTGGGTCCCTGGCTGCTTCACTGGCTTTTCTACCACAGTAGGTCTGGCGCAGGGGATTAGTTCATTGCCAGGTGCTTGTTCTCTTCTCTGTCTCTGTCTGTCTGTCTGTCTGTCTGTCTGTCTGTCTCCCCCCCCCCCCCCCCCATTTGGGGCCACACCCAGCTGTGCTCAGGGCTTACTGCTGACTCTGCACTCACGAATCACTCCTGGCAGGCAAGGGGAAACATGGGGGGTGCTGGGCATCGAACCCGGGCTGGACGCATGCAAGCAAGTGCTCGACCTGCTGCACTATGACTGCTTAATTTTTAAAAGATTTGGTTTTTTTTCTTGGTTCAGATATAAACAAGACCCATGCTTTGCAGTTAATCAGTGTCTTGGGTTTTATGTCTGTGCCTGTGCTTGCATGTTTGTTTTAATATGTCATGCTTTGGCTTTATTTTTTCTTGATGTGTATTTGTTGAAGAACCTGTATTATTTGGAGGGTTTCTGACTCTGGATTTGCTGCTTACGTTCCTGTGCTGTCCATTTCTATTTTTCTTACAAATAATAAATTAGATCTAGAGGCTTGATGAGGTTTAGGGGTTGAGTGTTTTGCACTAATGTTCCATAAGGTAGCATTTTATACTTCCAGTATCAGAGTGTCTCTATGGTTCTAGCAGCTGCCAGTGATCATGACAGCCCTGAATTATATAGGGGTTGTTAACTGATACGATTCTCACTTCATAATTCCCTCTTTATTAGTGGACCTAAAGGGAAACTTGTTTCTTCTGTAGCGGGTGATGTAGTTCATACAATAAAGGCACAATAGATGCTCAGTTGTGGCTTGTTTAGCATTTTCCAAACCATGACCAATGATATGTTGGTGATTTTTTTTTTTTGCGGGGGAGGTTACACCCTGCGATGCACAGGGGTTACTCCTGGCTCATGCACTCAGGAATTGTTCCTGGCAGTGCTCAGTGGACCATATTGGATGCTGGGAATCGAACCCAGGTCGGCTGCATGCAAGGCAAATGCCCTACCCGTGGTGCCATCACTCCAGCCCTGTGATTTGTTTTTAATATTGCACACAGCGTCGACTGCCTGGGGGGCTTTCACAGAGAAGTTGCGTTATTCAGATTGACTCTTCGATTGTTCATTTTGAGTTGAATTCTAGTAAACTCATGACAGTATCAGCTCTGTACTTAATTATATGAGGCAGATAGGTTGTATCTGTTGGCTAGACATATGCTTTGCATGCAGGAGGCCCGGGTTTGGTCCCTACGCACCATTAGGCGTGACTGCCTGAGCACTGTACTGGTGGTAGGGAATACTGCCAAACCAAAAAAAAAAAAAAAAAGAGCCTTCTGGGTTTCAGTTCCCTGTACTGCTGCCACCCACCTCCCACCCCACCTCTTGCCAAAAAAGCTGCCAGAGCTGGGCTTAATCCTCAGCACCCAAGTGGTCCCTTGCCAGTAGCAACTAGCTCCCAGCTAACAGCACTAGTGGCCATGGTGTCATGGTGTGCCCCGCCCCCCCCCCCCCCCCCCCCAGAAAAAAACATAAATCAAGAGCCTAGTTCTTCTTTGCTACTATCATCCTTCACCTTTATCTTTAGTCACAGCGATAGTGACAGAGGAAGTAAGTAGAGGATAATCTGTTTGTTCTTCCCTCAACAGTGATGGTGGTCTGCGTTTCGGGGAGATGGAACGGGACTGTCAGATTGCCCACGGGGCGGCCCAATTCTTAAGGGAAAGGTTGTTTGAAGCATCAGATCCTTACCAGGTTCACGTCTGCAACCTCTGTGGAATAATGGCTATTGCCAACACCAGGACCCACACATACGAGTGCAGGGGCTGTCGCAATAAAACCCAGGTGTGTATACACTGTGCGGCAACTTGTTGAGCGTATAACTTTGATGGTGTGATTATGCTGATTAGTGCGGTGAAACACGTTGGCATTTTCACTGTTTCTTTTTGGTGGTTATTTTGCTTTTGGGGCCATACCTAGCTCTGCTCAAGGCTTACTCCTGGCTCTGTGCTCAGGGATCATTCATTCATGGCTGGGCTCAGACCATCTTGGGAAAGGCAGGCGCCCTACCCACTGCTGTACTATCTCTGGCCCATGGCATTTTCAGTTTTAATTGCATGCTTCTGAAAGATTCCTAGGGGTTTTTTGTTTGTTTGTTTGTTTGCTTGTTTTTGTTTTGGGGCCAAACCTGGCAGTGCTCCGGGCTTACTCCTGGCTCTTGGCTCAGGGATCACTCCTGGGGGCTCACAGGACCATTTTGGGTACTGGGGGTAAGGCATGTGCCCTGCTCACTCTACTGTCTCTATGGCTTCAAGAGTCCTATTTTAAATGTAGAAAAAGGTAACACTTTGATGTTAATTGCATAACAAAAGATATTAAAGATGTTACTGTTGTTAAATAATAAAGATACTAAGTAACTATCTTAATTTTTGTTGGGGGTTTAGCCCTATGTAAGGCAAATGAGCTACCCACTATACTATCACGCCAGCCCAACAATTTGTTTTTCCTAAAAACCAGTTTCAGCGAGGTAATTTCTCGAGTGTTTGTCTTCTGGAAATAGTAACGCTTTGTGCAAGGAATTTTAAGCTGTGAACTTTTTCTTAGACCTTTAATTGAGGTTGGTGAATAGAAATTGTGTCTGACAGAAAGAGTAAAACACCTGTTGGGAGAAAGAAGCGCCCAAAGCCAGAGTAACCGGAAAAGCGTTGTCAGCCCACTCATTTATTCATCTTTTATAGAACAAAATCTTTATTTTTCTCTGGGATAGAGAAGTGGGATCATTTTGGTATAGCCTTACTAATTGCATTTTCTTTGTTTCTTTGCAGATTTCCTTGGTCCGAATGCCATATGCGTGCAAACTGTTGTTTCAGGAACTGATGTCTATGAGCATTGCCCCTCGGATGATGAGTGTTTAGCTCTTTTAAGGGACTCTCAAGAAGATACTTGTAAATATCTTTTGTGTCTAGTTTCCATGACGGAAAAGAATTACAAATATGTACTCTGTTGCAAGAAAAAGCATTTTATTGGCTTTGTTTAATTGTGTGCATGCCTTTGTTCTGTAAATAAACAATAAATTTTTGTAGATAGACTTGATGTGTTATCTTTATTTCATATTTCTCTCTGTAAAAAACAATGACTACAACTAAAATGTTAGAGGACTGGATCAAAAGAAACGGGTTATTGGGTTAAGAACAAGGGTCGAAGTTATCCAGGGGTACTTTTAGCAGTGGAGACTAAAATATTCTGCATTTTTACTGCTGAGCACCAAGACCTGTTGAAAAAAAAAAAGTTAATAGATGGATATAGTTGATTTTTTCTTTTTTTCTTTTTGGGTCACATCCGGAAATGCTCAGGGGTTACTCCTCGCTCTGCACTCAGGAACCACTCCTGGCAGTGCTCGGGGGACAATATGGGATACTGGGAATTGAACCTGGCAAACGCCCTCCCCGCTGTGCTCCAGCCCCTATAGTTGATATTTTAATTTTCAGGTATAGTGTTTCTGAGTAAACAAAGGTGTTAAAATGTGGGGAGAAAGGACTGGAATTGTTTCAGTGATGTGGTGTACTTCTCTTTGGGATTTGATCTACAGAGGATTGCAGATGTGGAAAGTGATTTGCCCTATCAGTCAAATGGAAGAGCACATTATAGAGAGGCAAAGGGACTTGCTCTCCATCAGACTCTGAAGTGGAGGAATAATTATTAGCAGAACCGAGATGGCAAACAACCGACTTGACTCTTAGCTCCTGCTGTTTGTTCCGCATCTTGGCTGAAAAGACTTTGATCAAACAGTCTTGCTATTTCTTCCTTTCATACCACAGCTGAGTGATCCACACAGTAGAATGGTTTGACAAACGCCGACAATAAATTTTGGTCTCATTTTCACTTAAGGGAAAGCCAATTTCGACATCAGTGTAATAGAACTATATAAATGTAAAGCAGCCGTGCTCCGACACTGCAGGATGGTGCTTACTGGGAACCCCTTTGACAGTGAAGAGTTGGGTACTTGCCAATATACTCTCCTTTCCAGCTTTTTCTTACAAAAGCTCAAAGTGAAGGATCAGAATTGCCTACAATCATTTCCTTTTAAATGGGGATTTAATAGAACAGTCACAATACCCAGGAAAAATGCCATGTAGGTAGAAAGTTATGGAATACGTAAGCCCTCCCAGTCAAGTTTCAGTTTTGACTCTCACGTGGAGGATAGATAGAGTAAAAGTATTTAAGTCATAATAATTGCGTTCCATCACCCACCTGAGTGCTTTGGGAACTTGTGATCTGTCTGGGCTGTGATGGCATACTTGAGACCCTAACATTACTGAATTTAATTAAGGCCTGTCTGATACCTTCATACCCGGTTCTGTTCCTTATTGAACAGGAGCACCAGTCTCGTTTAAATGTGGTGAGATTAACTACCTTTTTTCACTGGTATGTCTTGGATGTTGTCCACCACTGTGATTTTTGCTGATGCCGCAGCCTGTCCTTGGGAATTGGACGCGTGGCACTCATACTCTCCAGCATCTTCTTTACTGAGAGGGGACACCTGTGGGGGAAAATAAAACCCACCAAAAGATTGAGTTCTTCCATAGTGGTCTTCCCTTTGTCCAGTGGCCTCAAGGTCACTGTTTCACAAGCACCCGAAGATGGACAAGGGCTTTGGAGCAAAGACACTGCTAGAAATGGCACATGTCCTATTTCTATGGGAGACTTAAACAGCTACCCCAGTTGGTGTGCTGGGAGAATCGATAATCGGAAAATGTCATATAACCTTTGGTCACATTGCATAGGTTAAAAAAAAAAAACACGGGGTGCCAGAGAGAGAACACAGTGTGCTTGCTTTGCAGTGGCCAGCCCCAATTCAGTCCTCGACATCCCACATGCCTGAATGATCCCTAAGTGCAGAGCCAGGATTAAGTCCCGAGCACAGCCAGCTGTGGCTGCCAAATGAGAGAGACAAGGACTAGCACCAGGCAATGGCCTGGTCTCCTTTTCCAGACCTGCTGTGTTAAATAGTGAAATCTTTTGCCAACCTGTGGTACTCACCAGCACCCAGCCAGTCACTTCATGCTTTTCTGGGCCACCCCGGGTCTGGATGGCCAAATTTTCCCGGTCACCAGGCAAGAGTTCTGTCTTCTGCACTCCAGAGACACCCCTTTTTACCTGTGAAACAATAGGACATTTATGGCAGTGATTCATCATCAACTTGGAAGTGATTACATCCTAGAATAGCACAGGATGTACATCCGACTTTTTATTAGATCATACTTAGTAATTTCCACACTATCCTTTTTTGAATTTTTGCACATCCATTTTTTTTTTCTTTTTTGGGTCACACCCGGAATCAGGAATCAGTTCTGGCCGTGCTCGGGGGACCATATGGGATACTGGGAATTGAACCTGGGTTGGTTGCATGCAAGGCAAACGCCCTACCCGTACACATACATTTTTGTACTTACTTTCTTCAGTAAATAACTATCCCTTAGAACAAAGTAAAGGTATAATCACTTTGCACTCAATCTATTTTCCACTAATGAGACTATTGGTTCTATGTCCTCTATTTCAGCCACAAGAAGATCTTCCTGAATTCTCTTGCAGGATGGCAAACTGATAAGTGTTAGTAATTGGACCAAATGGTCAGATTGCAAGTGCCAGGCTCATGCTGGTGGCCCTGAGCACGCTTGTACCGTGCCCCCAACAACTAACAGCAGAAAGCACTAGTGGCTATAGAAGCAGGAGGAATTCGATCCCTGAAGCTACATTTCAAGAGAACCCCCTAAGGACTTTTATACAACACAGAACCTTTTTGGGGGCGAGGTGTTTGGGCCACAACTGCCAGTGCTCAGAGCTTCTTCCTGGCTTTGTTCTCAGGGGTCACTCCTGCCAGTGCTTTTTTTTCTTTTTTCTTTTTTGGGTCACACCCGCTGATGCTCAGGGGTTACTCCTGGCTCTGTACTCAGGAATCATTTTTGGCGGTGCTCGGGGGACCATATGGGATGCTGGGGATCGAACCCGGGTTGGCTGCGTGCAAGGCAAATGCACTACCTGCTGTGCTATTGCTCCAGCCCCGCCAGTGCTTATTTTGTGGCATATGCCCTTGGGGATGTCTTTGTCACTGCTGGGGGGTGAGCACCACTGTCACTTAGTGTGTAGACAAGACCAGAGATGCTATTATCCATCCTACAGGGTGCAGTGTGTATCCACAACCAAGATTGTTCTGGTTCAAAATACGAGTAGCAAGGCCAAAGAAGGGAAGGTATTAAACAATGGCCGATCCCTGACTCTGAGTTACAGAAATGAGGATGCGGAGCTGGAGTGATAGTACAGCGGGTAGGGCATTTACCTTGCATGTAGCCAATCCTAGTTCAATGCCCGGCATCCCATGTGGTCTCCCAAGCACCGCCAGGAGTAATTCCTGAGTACAGAGTCAGGAGTAACCCCTGAGCATTGCTGGGTGTGACCCAAAAAGCCAAAAAAAAAAAAAAAAAAAGAAATGAAGATGCCCAGGAAGAAGATGAGAGGGTGTTGGCAGAGAAAGGAAGCGACAGGCAATATACATAAGGGCACTAATCAAGGCACCACGGTAGTTCAGAGGCAAGGCAACTGCATCATGCCCATAGGAGACAAAGCCATTGTAAGGTGTGTGACACAAACTATAATAAGCAAAAAAAAAAAAGTTCTCTAAGGAGATGGGGTGGGGATGGGGAGAGCAGAGGGTGCTGACACTCGTGGTTAGTTTGGGGTTGAAACAATGTCTAAGACTCTTTTATCAATAGCTTTGTAGATCATGATGAAAAAACGAAAGTAAATAATACAATGACAAAAATCTGATCCAAAACAGTCAGTGTGGGCCGGGATGTGACTCGAAGTGGAGCACATATCTGGCATGTGTGAGGCCCTGAGTTCGATCCCTGGCACTGCTCAGGACTTCCGGAACATTGCTGGGCGTGTCCCGGAAACAAAGGTCAGTAGTGCTGGGGTGGAGGATGCCTGGCTTCGGGAGGGAACTTGGCAGCCCTGGCAGGTGCCCACTCCTGAGAGCTGAAAAATGAGATTTTGTTTTTCTTTTTTGGGCCACACCTGGTGATGCACAGGGGTTACTCCTGGCTCTGCACTCAGGAGTTACTCCTGGCGGTGCTCAGGGGACCATATGGGATGCTGGGAATCGAACCCGGGTCGGCCGCTTGCAAGGCAAATGCCCTACCCGCTGTGCTATCGCTCCAGCCCCTAGAATGAGATTTTTATTTTTGCTTTTTGGGTCACATCCAGTGTTGCTCAGGAGTTATTCCTGACTCTGGACTCAGAAATTACTCCATGCGATGCTTGGGGGACCATATGAGATGCCGGGGATTGAAGTTGTGTTGGCTGTGTGCATGGCAAACGCCCTAACCACTGTACTATCTCTCTGGCCCTTAAAGAACAAGAGTTTTTCAGATGCAAAATGCCCTGCTCTGCGTGGCTAACAGGAGGGCATGCTGGGGATCTGGATGGGGGCTAAGACTGTCCTGCAGTCAGCAGTGCGGTGTCTGGGAGAGGCCATCAGGCACCCCACTCTAGGGCCCAGGGGCCGTGAATGCAGCGAGGATTCCACGCGATGACCACTAGCAGGCATGAGGGCATTTTCCTGGCTTCCCGGCCACTCACCTTGTTCCAGATAAGGACGGGGGTGGGGATTCCAATGACCTCGCAGCTCAAGTAGACTTGGGCACCGGTGACGTTCCAGATGTCCTTGGGGGGTGTCGCGATGGAAGGACCTGCAAGGGAGGGCACAGGGTCAAGCCCACCGTTAGCCTCGCCTGTGTGGTCAGGCCTTCCCGTGGACTCTCTGGACCAGCCATCGAGCCTCCAGATATTCCAAGGAGGACACAAGGAAAAACTGTGTAAGCGGAGGTGGGGGTAATACAAGGGGCACAGGAAGGGGACCCTGGTGGGAAGAGGTCAAGAAGCAGTGGAGAGGCTGGAGCGATAGCACAGTGGGTAGAGCGTTTGCCTTGCATGCGGCCGACCTGGGTTCCATTCCCAGTATCCCATATGGTCTCCTGGGGACCATCAGGAGTAATTCCTGAGTGCAGAGTCAGAAGTAAAGTAACTCCTGTGCATCGCCGGGTGCAACCCCAAAAGCAGAACAAAACAAAACAAAAACCAAAAACAGAAGCAGTGGATCAGATGCACCTGCACCCCCTTTGCCGCCGGCATGAGTTTGAACTATGCTCTGGGAATTCTCACATCTAGACAAAAAAAACTAAAGAAGGGAAAATCACTCATTTGAGATTTGCTCCTTCAAATCATGTCACATGCGGATAAATTTACCAGTGACTCTGCATTATTTGTGACTGGCCTGTTAATGAAAAAAAAAATTGATGCATGTGGGGCCACACTCAACAGTGCTCAGGGCTTACTCCTGGCTCTGTGCTCAGGTATCTCTCCTAGTAGTACCGTACTGGTAATCAAACCCCGGTTGGCCACATTTGAAGCAAACAACTTAGCCCTGCCCTATCTTCCCAGCTCAATCCTTTAAACGTTAGTACAGATGCAAGTAACCCCACGCGATTACTGCGGGTTCAGTTCTGAAAAGGCAACACGGGCAAGCTTGCACATCTGGAAAGAGTCGTGTCGGCTCATTGCCTGGGTACTTAGTATGTTCACTGCTGCCAGCTCCCACCGCCAGGGCTTGCGATCTCAGCCTCTCAGTCGAGGGAGGAGCAGGCAGCATGCCGTCTGCTGGTCTGCCGGGTGGAGCCTGGCTCCTTTTCGAAGCCCTGCACCATCTCTTGAACGCAGCAAGGCACGGATAAAGAAATGATTTTTCTCTGGATTTCCATTTGCGACCGCCTCGAGGCCACCTGTGAAACCCCCGCTGAGAACTGCTGGGTCATCTCGATGGTCTGGAGTCTTGGGAAAGGGACAGGCTCCGTTCAGGGCTGGAAAGTTTCCTGGCCTCGGCAGCGTTCCAGGGACGCGGAGTCTCCCCTCTTGCGACAGGCTATTTCCAGCAGAGCACGATTAATTTCTTGAAGCAGAGAGGAAGTGACCCGCATGGAAGCTCTTTCCCACTCATCTACAGAACTAAACGCTGACTTCAAAAAAATATTTTTTCTAAATCCCTGGGGGTATTTTTTTTTTTTTTACAATTGGTTCCCTTTGTAAGAATGTGCCAAACAATTGAGGTTTTGAAAGCTCTAAATATATTTTGCGCTTCCTTCCCCGTAGACCACTGGGCGAGGAGGATGCGTGTGTCTCGGGTCCTGGCCCAGGTTTCTTCGTCAGCAGCGTGCAGGGGTGCAGAACTGGGCTTTATGGGTTTCTGGCCCTGATCTGACACTCTCTGCTTTGGATGCACATGTTCGGGACATCGCCGAGCTCTGGGTTGGTCTCCCTCCCTACTAAGCTTCCTCAGGGCCCTGGAAGCCCAGGGGGCTGGGCTGGGCCTTGGCAGAACTCCAACTTCCACTCCCACCCCCGCGTGCCTGTAGGCTGACTGGGCAGGACGGCGGCCAAGTGCAGGGGTTCTCCAGGGATTGTTCTGAGAAGGATGCACGGGTGTTCCGAGACGTGGGGGCCCTCGGGAACAAAGCTGCCTCTGAAGGCCCGAAACCGCACAAAGCATGTGATTTGCGTCTATGGTGTGGCCTTGAGAAAACCTATCGACAAATCCTTTGGCCACGCTGGGCAGTGCTCAGGGCTTATGCCTGGTTCTGAGCTCATGGATCCTTCCTGTTAGGACTCAGGGGACCATGTGGGGTGATGGGGAGCATATGGGGTGCTGGGAGTCAAACCCAAGTTGCAGGGCTGGAGCGAGAGCACAGTGGGGAGGGCGTTTGCTTTGCATGCAGCCGACCCGGGTTTGATCCCCGGCACCGTCCGGAGTAATTCCTGAGTTCAGCGCCAGGAGTAACCCCTAAGAATCGCCAGGTATGGCCCGAAAAGTTAAAAAAATAATCATAAACTCAGGTTGGCTGTATGGAAGGTGAGTGCCTTAGTCCCTGTGCTGTCTCTGTGGACCTGCACATTCGTGGTTTCTACTTGCCTCCTCTGCATTCCAGTCGCATCACGTAGCCAAGTCACCTGTCTTTGCCAGGGAGAACTTTCAGCCTGATTTTCTGTCAGGGACCTTTTTCCTTTTCCTTTTCTTTTTTTCTTTTTCTTTTTTTTTTTTGGTGTGTGTGTGTGTGTGTGTGTGTGTGTGTGTGTGTGTGTGTGTGTGTGTGCTGCCAGGGTTTGAATAAGTTTCTCTTTTTCTTTTTTTTTTTTTTTTTTTTGGTTTTCTTTTGGGCCCCCCTTGGCAGTGTTCTCGACCTCCTCCTGGCTGGTGCTTTGGGCCCCAAGTGGCTGGTGCTGGGGATTGGCCCTGGGGCTTCTGCATGTAAAGTATGAGACCCAGTCTCTGAGCCACCTCCCCGGTCCTCTGACAGGGGCCTTGAACACCCACTATGGAATCAACAAATGACACCTATGCTGAAAAACAAAAACAAAAACAAACAAAACCCTGCAGAACAGATTTGTGGTTTTGGTATGTGATTTCCTACAGAGGAAAGCCAAAGTGATCAACGATTTTATTTTTAATTTTTGCTTTTTGGGTCACACTTGGCAATGTTCAGGGGTTACTCCTGGCTCTGCACTCAGGAATTACCCCTGGTGGTGCTCGAGGGACCATATGGGATGCTGGGAATTGAACTTGGGTTGGCCTTGTGCAAGGTAAATGCTCTACCCTCTGTACCATCGCACCACCCCCCAGAGTGATCAATGATTAATCTAATATTCAAGTGAGCTGCAGGAGGAGGAGGAGGAGGAGGAGGAGGAGGCCAGTTAGCTTTAAGCCAAGTTCTATGGTTGGAGAATCTACAGGCCTCAGAGCTGTCTGGTTCTGTTCATGCTCCTATATCTCCTTGTTTTTTTTTTGCCAGGCTCACTGGAAATTCAGAATATAAAGAAGGGATGGCGGAACTCTTGTGATTTTTGGGGGTGGTGGTGGTGGTGGTTTGGACCACACCTGGAGGTACTTGGAGCTTTACTCTTGGCTCTGTGTTCAGGGGATCAGTCCTGGCTGTGCTCAGGGAACCATATGTGGTGCTGGGGATTGAACTGGACTTGGCCGTGTGCAAGGCAAGTACCTTAACCCCTGTACTACTCTAGAGAAACTCTTGACAAAGGCGAGTATCAGATGAGTGACAATCCAGGAGAGAAAAAATAAGGGCTATTATGATGACCCCGAAGGGCACCACGTGAACACATCTTGTACAGAGGTGGAGAGATGGGCGATGTTCAGAGCAAACACAGCAATGCTACACTCCATCCCTGTATTCCCCGAAACCACTGCCCTAGGGCTGGGGACAGCAATGGTGGTAGAGTGAAGTCCTCACAAGGGCCAGACCCCAAGTCCGATCTGCAAGTTCCCTCCCCCGGCGCTTATCAAAGCCACAGAAACACAAGCACCAGCGGCATCCCACGTGTTCCGGGGATAAGAACCTCGCTGGCCAGCAGCCTCGAGATGCCTGTCTGCCATAATCCGCTCCTAAAAGTTCTGTCCAGGGCTGGAGCAATAATAGTACAGCGGATAGGGCGTTTGCCTTGCATGCGGCCAACCCGGGTTCGATTTCCAGCATCCCATCTGGTCCCCCGAGCACAGCCAGGAGTGATTCCTCAGTGCAGAGCCAGGAGTAACCCCTGAGCATTGCCGGGTGTGACCCAAAAAGCAAAATAAATAAAAAATTAAATTAAGTCTGTCCAGATCAGCAAATTAACTTCTTTCCATTCCATCTTTTTTCCCCCCAAGAAAGCCAAAGTGGATCCAGACCCTATTACTAATTCCCACCCCCCCCCACCCCCACATCCTTGCTATTACTATTTTTAAGGATGGAAGAACTTGTACTTCTCACTGAGCTCATGCGCAGGCGGAAAGTGTGTTCTCAGGGCTGAGCCAAGGCTAACATCGGTGCCGTCTAAATCCTGCACCGCGTCTGGATTCCATTTAAAACAAGTCACAGAATATTTAAACGCGCAGGGACAAGTACCAGGGTAGGTTTGGTTATTTATTTATCTTTGCTGTTGTCCCCAGAAGGACTTCAGGATCCTCTAACATCTGTCTAGCAAACATCCTGTACCTAGAGGAAAGCGCGCCCCCACCCCCTCCAGTCCCCGCCTCCCTCCACCCCTAACCCACCCCGGGCAGTGACTGTGATGTACACAGCGCCACCTGGTGGCTGCCGTGAGTAAAGCTCGCCCCCAGATTCCCTCATCTCACCCCTCTCCTCCTCCTGAAAACTCAAGCGAAATCTCATTCCATCTCTCTCTGATCCTTTCCCAGCTAAATTCACTTTCTTGCGCTTTTATTTTTCATAACTCTTGCCTCGTAACGGTAGATGTAACTTCTTTCTAATTATTCCTTGAAGGGAAAAATAAAGGTAAAAGGGAGGGAAGGAGGATCTGATAAAGAAGGGGAAAAAAAAACCTTCTGAGTTGTTGCAAGGTAGACGAAAGTTCTAAATTTGGAAGATAAGTAACCTTTAACTGAATAAGGGTCAGTAACCTTTAACTGAATAAAGTTGTCTCCTTAAAAGAAGGGCTGGTCAAAAGGAAAGAGAGGAGAGATAGAGAGAGAGAGAGAGAGAGAGAGAGAGAGAGAGAGAGAGAGAGAGAGAGAGAAAGGGTGAGAGAAATTGGGATCAGTGGTGGTGGGAAATGTACACTGGTGAAGGGAGGGATGCTGGAACATTATATGACTGAAACCCAAATCATAAACAATTCTGTAACTGTG